AAAAAAATAAAAAAAAACACATCTCAGTAAAACCAATACCTTCTCAGATTCGCATCGAAGCTAAAATATTTAGACTGAATCATTATAAGATTTATTAATTTTTTTAACGTTAAACTATATTTTAAATCTATTGATTCATACTTTAAACACCCCACAAATTCGCGCTGTTAAGTTTCATTTAAATATAATTTTTAAGTTGTTATTTAAAGTACTTGCGGATATAAATTGCTCCTAGTATGTTAGTTAAAACATTTCCTAGTTTTATTAAAAACTTTATTGAAAATATTATTTATAATATAATGTAATATGTTTTATTAAAAATATTAACCAATCGGGTTATTACCCGATTTAATTGCCACTGAATACTACGAAAAATGAGTATCTATTTTTGTTTTAAAGATAGAAGTTTACAATTTTATAGTTGCTTTTCTAAAAAATTTTATGAACTGGACAATTAAACGGTGTAAAAACCTATCAAAGCGTAAGGAATAGCCAACCTCAAATAGTTAGGAAAGAAATTCGATGTTGATGATAACAATTACCGTTTTCCTGTGTACCCTTCATATTAGTTTCCTCTTTAAATTATTAAAAAAATATTATATTAGTAATACTTTTTTATCGTTTAATTAAAAATTACATAATTTTACTCACGATTAAATTTCACGGAGGACTTTAAGGGCAATTACCATAGCATTAATATTTAGGAAAGTTTTCAACGATAGAAAAGTTGAAAACTTTGTGCCTTAAAAAACTTAAAATATACATAAATGCAAGAACATAAAATATAAATAACATCCTAAATATTTTTATGGGAATTTTATTGGGTTCGTCGGTTATGACACCCCTAAAAGTCTCTGGAGACTTTGTTGAACCCTGGGACAATTATCCCAGACAGCTCTTTACACTCTAATAAATACTAATAAACTATATTCAACATTTTTACTTAATTTGACTAATCATTATTATAACTATTAGAAATTACCATTAATTTTTTGTCGGGAAAATATATTTTTTAGAGGGAAATTTCCCGTTTAGAGGGAAAATATGGGACCGTAATCAATTGGAGGGAAAAAGGGAAGAAATTTTAAAATTGTACTAAAAAAGGGAAACTTAGAAATTTCAGTTATTAATCAATATTTTTACTTTTATAAAAAAAATTATTTAAAAGTATACATGTTATTTTTTCACAAAAAAATGATCAATTTTTATTTTTGCATAGATAAATTAATTTTTATGTTAACAAATCCTATTGATAATACTATCTAAGAATATCACAATCGGTCCTTGGATCCTATCTACAACCGTTAAAACAATTATGAACATTAGGAATAAATCGATTTTACCTATCAATGTTGCAGTACCTGATATGATCACTATTGTCTATCAGCAAAAAAAAACTTATTAATGTTTTATTCTTAAGTCACAACTAGTTTTAACTTTTAAGTTATAAGTTATTATTATTTTCATAGATGTTTTATACTTAACATTTTCCATTATTTTAACCATGGATAATTTTGAAGAAAATGATGTATTTAATNTCATTTTCCATTATTTTAACCATAGATAATTTTGAAGAAAATAATGTATTTAATAGTACTCCACCAAAAAAAAAAATTAAAGGACCAAAATGTTTTAATAGTAATTGGCTTAATTGCTCTGAATTTAAGGGATGGTTGGAATGTATTCGTAAAAATATTTTCAAAGCTCGTTGTTCTGCTTGCCAGGTAAATAAAAACAATAATATTCCTTATTTTATATAATTAAGAAGAGTGAGGACTGTAGTCTTCAATCTTACTATTTTTAAATTTTTATTACTTTGAATATTTACATTCAAAGAGGCTACAATGGTATAATATGCAAAAAGTAGCGATTTATTTGAAAAATGTATTTTGAAACGATATGTTTATGAATTCTATAACATATTTTGTTTTTAAATATTATTAATTATGGGAATAACAATTGATAAAACCAATATTATTTAAGGATTTCATATTATAATGGTCAACTTACAATAGTCAATATACAAGAAATAAAAGAAAATTAAATTTACATTTATTTGAAATAAAAAATTTAAGGAGGGAATTTTTTTTAAAAACCGGGAAATTTACAAGTTTGAGAGAGAATTAAGCTATTTTTGGTCTGGCTACACTGACTGATATATTGTTCAATACTACAAAAAATGTTATTTTCTACGGCAGAGCTGAACATCTTTACAACTAATATCACATTATTATTATCAACTTTACACCGGATATCCAGTTATCAGTCATTTAATTTTTATATGAAAATAAAATTTTAATTTTACTATTAAAAATTAAGTATTGTTGATTTACTAAATTTGTATGTTACTTTTTAATTTTTTTACATGAAGGAATATACTAAAAATTGAAACTATGTTAAAACAAGTGTATGGATCACTATTTTCTGGTATTTATATGTGGTCATAATTTTCACATGATAGTAAGTTTTTTAGTAATGAAATTATTACATAATATTTTTGTAGTGAGTTCTCGCCTTCTTCGAAGAAACACTGAAAGTTTGCTCCCAAAGCAACCTTTAACTAATTTAGTAATAAACAAAAGTTTACCTCAAAGTCTTGAACGATGCAGATTTTATTCCATGTTATCTAGGATAAATATGTCTGATACTAGTTTAAATCAAAATAAATTTATTCTACCAGTGAACATATTGTGAGTAATTTATAATTAATTTATTTAACATTTATATTTTTGAATTGATCTCAATTCAATAAAACAAAATATGCTATCTTCTATGAGACTATAGTAGATACATTATGTAAGGTTTTCTCTGCTTTATGATACAATACACATTGAGTTATTTTGAACTCTATTTAAATATAGGTAAAAGAATAATAATTGTATTACTTCTTAATTAAATTGATAATTGAAGCTAACTATTTTCTTAAGATTGCTGTATTATTTTTTATATACATGTTTATAAGTAATAGAAATATTATTGATATTCTAATGTCCCATTCCTATTACTCAGAATACTCTGTATGAAAATCGTAAAAATGTTAACAAAATTTATCTTTATATGCAAGATAGAACAGATGCTTTAATCTACAATACAATCAACATTTTGTTTTTTCTTTAAATTTATTTTTAATAGTTTATGTATTCTTAGACTGTTAAAATCACATTTTTTGTTATTTATTTTTAATAATAAAAGAATGTACATCTTATATTTTTAAAATAGACAAATTTTAAGCACTTTTCTTATAAAAATTTTGATGGGTCAATAACAACTTTAGAATAAGTAATTATTAAGTTAAGAGCTTTTTAATACATAAGAAGTGTATGCAATGTGGGTTAATTATGTTTTATAAATACATCAGTATGAGTTGTTATTAAAATAATTGGAACTCAATAATTACTCATCTTAAAATTATTATAGACCTATTAACATTTTTTGTAAGAAAATTACTTCCAATAGAAGTTGTTAGTTAAATATGTTCCATATTGTATATTTAAAATTTCTTTAAATAATAAAAAATTCTATTTAATATTATTACTACACATTAATTATAGATTAAATATTCTTAATCACAAAGTATTTTATTTTTCAAGGAGCAATTTTAATATTCAACAAAACAGAAACTTAACAAAATTTTCTCTTGGAAAAGGTAAAAGAAAGTCTGTCAAAGCTGTTGTTGATCGTTTTTATCGTTTGGCATGGTAATATACAGTTCATATTTATCAAAATATTTTTATCAGTAAATAATTGTTGATTTTTAATTATTTATTATAAATTTAGCTTAAAAACTATCAATTAATCTGTGAAATATATGTATCAAATAAATATATTAACTACACCATTTAATTAAATACCTAACATTTTAAAAATTAGATTTTTTTCAAAATATTTATTAAGACTTCCAGATCAAAGATTATTGATCCACATTAACAACAACAAAAAAAAAATTACACATTGTTAATTAGTTGTCTGACCATAATTCTTTATTGTATTCCAGAAAATGTATAGGTTTTTAAACTAACTTTTGGAACTTAATTTTTGTTTCTTACTTAAATTCAAGTCTTGAATCACATAAATTTAATGTTGAGAAACCACTAGCTTTTTGTGGTTATATTTTTCCCAAATTCATTGTACCTATTATCTATATGGCTCAAATTTAGTCCAATATTTAGGGAATATCTTAAGGTAGCATCAATGTTTTGATGGCCAAACCATTCCAATTAATAAAACCAAATCAAATCTATGAGAGATAACAAAAGCACTCTTTGTTGCCCTTTTGTGCACACCCAGTTTTATTTTACTGGAAGTAATGTGTTATTCGTCATTATTATACATTTTTCATTTATCTCATAAATTAAAATACATTTAATAATAAATCATTTTTTGATGATTATAACATAATGAAAACGGTATCAAAAATTGCTTAAAGTCTCTTTGTTTTTACTTCATTTTTAAACATGCAGAATTATAACAATTATTTTTCTAGCAAAGCATCTTTTTTTATTTAGACGGTGGTTGAGTTATTAATTGTCAAAAATGATTTAACAATTTTTTTAATTTTTGTAGGGGTATATGGATTCGTACAAAATGTGGACGTAATAAAAAAATGTGGAAAAAACCTGCAAGTAGAAAACGTAGGTTACGACAACATGTATTTTGTAACGCTAAACAAAGTACTTTATTAGATAAAATGACTACAAAGTATTGGAAAAAAAGAAGATTCTACCCAGATGATCCTTATGAACCTTATCATAGCAGAGAAGAATTTCCGTTCACTAGAAAAAAACCTCTTCTTGAGTAATAATTAAGTCATTTTTTGAGGTTTTTTGTATATTAATAAATATATAATTGAGTTTATTAAAATAGTGATCATATTTTTCTTTATAAAACTAAATTTTAATTGCTCTATTAATGTATCAATGTACTAAAAGAATATTTTATGATTGATTAAAAATGGTAATTAACTTATTAAAAAAAACATATGATTGAATTGATTACATATATTTTTTAAATTATTTTATTAGGTACAAAATACATTATTTCATGTTAAAATCTGCATATAGTGAAATGTAATCAAAATAACTTAACATCTTTAGAACTAATAAATAATTTAATCTTTTTTATTAATAAAAATTTGGCATAATCATTTTTACAATAATAATTTGAAAAGAATAGATACTGAGTTGTCTAATACTAAAATATTTACACAGAAGGGGGAAATAAATTGTAATACTTGAAAAATAAATAATTTTTTAAAGAGTATAATAAATTAAAAACTAATATAAATATAAAAAATCAATACAAATAATTATTTTAACAGTTTAAATCCCTATGTAATTTTTTTAGTCTGTAGTAAAGCAAAAAAGTTTGTTAAAAATTTAATTTAATTTAAATCTAATGATACAATTAAGTCGAGTGAAAAAATTATTGGAGTTAAATCAAGTTATAGTTTATAGGATATAATGTTTTAAAAACATTTTTTCAATTTAATTATATTTTCAATAAAATACTGATTACAAATTTCGATAAAATATTGGTATACAAAATCTTATTTCTAAATTGAGTTATATATTATTACAAAATATAAATTTTAGTATTACATTATGTTTATACATTTTACTAAGTGATAAATAATATATATAGTTTGTGGAAAAAATAAATTATGGCCAATAATTATTAACAGTCATTGAATAATACATATAATCACTTAACTAAACTTGGGAATGTTCTATTTTATAAACAGCATGATATGCGTTCCTGATTAGTGCATACGGAAAACATGATTCTAATAAATCCATAGTAAGGAAAGGTGATTCTTGAACAATCTATTTAAATTAAAAACATATTTTGATATCAATTATTCAATAAAATATTGATAAAAAATAAAATTTACTTGATCAAGTAATAAATAAACAGATTCACGATTTTTAGTAATCTCTCTGTCAACTTCTTGTCCAAGACGAAGTAAACTAGACGATGCCAACTATAAGTAAAAAAAAACATTAAGTTACAAAAATATTATTATATTATATAATATTATGTTTATAGAAAAAATGTTCCAAGTGTAAAATTGATTAAAATAGTACAACTGACCTAATCAGATGAACAATTATTAGATAATATAAGGTAAAAATAATTCAATTTATATTTTGATGCCTAATAGCAATTCTTAGAAAAAATAAGTAGATGTATCTATATTAATATTGAATTCCAAAAATTAGTTAACCATATTGAATAAATTTCAGTTTACCGCTAGAAACTCTTTCATCCGGTCTTCAATATCTCCTTGTTCACAAATAGTAAATAATGCACCAAATATATTATTAACGGCTAAAGCTATACAATGTATATTATTTGCATGCCCTTCTAAAGATGCCCGATAAAAAGAATTTTCTGAACGGGCTAATTTAGGTATGGACACAGCAACAAAAACCATTAGTAAGCAAGCTAATAAATGTTCATCTTCATCACCTATAAATTTAAAAAACACCATTATTATAAATGTATACTTTAAAATAATGAATATAAATAATAGCTTACTGGTTTTCTGATTTTTAAGAGCATTTGCTAAAGTAGGATCAACTTTACAAGGAAGTCCAGCTGCTGATGCCATCTCACTTACAACCTATAAGAAATAAATAATAACAATTTTTAGTCGAAAAATTATAGTTTTATAATTTAAAGACATACTATAGCATCTCCACCAAGTAAACTCATACGATAATCTAAAATTGAACTAAGTAAAAATGGAACTCTTTCTTCTAGCACATCAACTAAAGCAGATTGAGATAACTGTCGAAAACTCAATATTACCCCAACAATTGTCATCCTTTGAAGAACATTATCAACATCTAGAAAAATAGGTATAAAAATATTTTTATACAATCAATAAAAGAATTTAAAAAATTCTTTTATCATCAATTTATCTACTAGTATGGTAATACTAACGTTGGAGTTTTTTGAATTGTTCTTTCATAATTTCTGGTTTATCAAAATTAGTTCTCAAAGCTAATAAAACTTCTTTGTTGCTGGCCACCAATTTCTAAATGTAAAAAAAACATTCATAATATATAAAAGTAAAAAATGTTAACTGTAGTCTAATTGGGTTTTAATATCAATAGTAAAATATATTTTATTAAAACTTTTCTTATATTGATATTGAAAATCAAATTGTACCTTTAATTCTTGAACTTGACTTGCAATGTGCCACATTAGAGTTTCATTCAATAACTTCATACCATATGGTCCAACAAGTTCAGCTAAACCGCGCAGTTCATTAATATCAGAAAACTCTTCAGCATTAAATGGAATAGCTCCTTCAGCAGTCAAACTAACAAATGCTCTTTGATTCATAGAATAACATATATTGCCAGCACTCACTCGTCTCAGCAATACTTCTGAATACCTATAATAAATAAAAATAACAAACTTGTTTAAATATTTTTTTGAAATTAAAAGCCAGATAAAATCATACCACTGAGTGTATGATGACGCAACAGTTTTTTCTCCATGACTATCTAATTGTTGGGTTTGTTGTAGCAATGCATTGTTAAAAACTCGAGTTATATCAATATGTACTAATGGGAAAGAATAAAATTTGTGTTAAAAAGATAATTTAAGAAAATAAAAGATTTTTTTTAATTAATACCATAATTTTCTATTGTCTGTAAAACACTCATATATGCTCGTACACTAGCTAAAAGTTCTGAAGGTTTTGCTATTTCTCCAGTATCTGCATTAAACATGACCATACCAACAAGGGCTCTAGAAAACCTATTTTCTAAATGCTGATGGAGATATTCTCTTGGAGCAAATGTGTATTCCCATACATTGATTGTAGAACAATAATTTAATGCAAAGCACAGTTCAGTAAGTGCCATATGAAGTTTATCCATTCTAAAGAAATAATATTATTTAAAATTAAATTTTTTTGTTTTTATATTTAAAAAGTTAAAAGCTTACGTAGTAAGATCTTCACGAGTTTTTCTAAAACTTTCAATGCCTGGTTTTTCAATTTCAGTTGATCCATTTTTTTTATTTTTATCCTTCTTTTTTCGGTTTACCACTTGAGAAATCAATAATGCACAGTGTTTAGGCAGCAACTATATTGAAACATAAAAGCTGTATGTTAATAATAATATGATTATATAAATTTTCAATAAAAAAATATTTATTTAATTTATCTCTTAAGTTTTATACTTTTTAATTTATTACCTTATCACTCATGGTACACTGTTCATCACAAATTGTAGTTATAATATTTTTTGCTTCTTTTGCCATTTCATCCAAAAACATATTAACAACTGATAAACTTCTTTCACGTATATGGTGTCTCTAAATTATTTTATAAAATAAAACAATATTTGAACATTTTTTGATATTATATTTCAAGTATAATTCAATCAAGTTATAATTTACTAAAAAAAACTTAACCATAATGTATTATATAAGTTTTAGCGATTATCTTAATGTTTTATCTTAGAATTAACAATTGAATATTGTTTGATAAAAAATTTCAGAAAAACATTATTTTTACAATTAATTAATAAAAATTTGAAAACTGAATTAATATTACTTCTTCAGGACAAAGTTCATGAGTGCAGCTTTGAAAATGATTACAAACTAAAGGAAATGCAATAATGTATCTGTTCTGAGCAGGAAATTCCAAACACATATGAAATTGATCCTCAAACATCTTATTATAAAAACTGTTAATAAGTAGAAGACAATTAAACATTACTATGAATAAATTTAATGAATTGATTGTTCTTCTTGTAGCTTATATTTACTTAAAGTAAATTACCAAAATGTTGATAAATCAGATGTCTCTACCATCATTTCATCTAGATAGTCAACCATTTTTGTATGAAAGAAGATAGTATCTAATAGGGATGCTAACTCTCTATGTTCTATTAATGAAACTGGAGCTTTAGTAACACTAGTGTAAGCTTGTAAACGAAACCAATCCAAACGTAAAGCTCGGAAATCAAATAATTCATTTTCTTCAACTATTTATAAATAAAATTTTATGATTATGGTTGTATTTAAAAACATGTAATAAGTTTACCTTGTTTAACTGATAGATTAGAAATTATATTGACTAAAGAAGATAAAATAACACTTTCATCTTCAGTAAAGCCTGGTAAACTTTGTAAAGTCTGATTTAATTGAATTACATCAAAACCTGTTAAATACTGCACATAATATCTTTGAACTACTTGACTATACTTTCGCACAAGCACTAAAAAAATAAAAATTGAAATAGTAATAAATAACAATAATATATTTTCAGGGTTGGGCTAGCTATCTGAAATCTTAAAAAATTCTGTTAGTTTGCCTACTACAAAAAATCATAAATTAATAAGTAAAATATCTTGAGCTTATTGGTCTTCTTCTGAAAGTCCCAATCAGTTCAATTTTGTAATCTACTATATGATGTAATACTTCTTAATTCTTCCATGTGAAATAGTAACTCTGGGAGTTGCCTATCAACAAGATCCTCTGATGACTTCCCTTTATTTTTTTGAAGTGGTGGATTATCGCTATGTCTTAATAACCAGCAAATTTCATCTCTAGCAAAGCTTAAACCAATAAATATAAGTAAAACCTAAAATTTTCAAATAATTAAAATGATTATGATATTATTGATAAATTTTCTAAATATAATGGTAAATGGTATATTACTTTAGGTCCAAGTAGTCCTGGTTGATCTGTAAGAATAAGCCCTAACTCTTTCAAAGCTGTTCTTAAATACTTTCTTCTCTCTCTATGTCTATAAACACTGAAAATAAAAGATTTTAAAAGAAATTACTTGTTATAAAACATATTAAATAATAAAAATTATTTTACGCTTTTTGAGTGGCATGATTATATGCGTCTTTTAATTCGGACACTCGTTTCCCGTATCCTTTAATAGTTTCAAAAAATGTTTGTATAAATGAATGAATGAATATTGTTTCATCTCTAAATAAGGCTATAACCCAATTTGATTCTAAAGCACTTAACCATAATTTGTTGGCTTGTTCTTGACTTAGAGCTTGATGACATAGTAAAAAGCCAACTGAAATTTAACATAGGATTATATATAATGTTAAATCATTGAAAATTATCCACATACATATTATCCATTTTTCCATTGTTTCTAATGATAAATATTCACATGAAATTGTTTCAGTCTGAGATGGCTTTAACAAATAGCCAGGATTACTCACTAAACTCAGCTTCTGATCAGACCTAAATGTAATATACCAATTTTATCAAATAATATTAAAGAAATAATTTAAGTTTCATACCTCCATTTATCTGCAGATAAGTTTCTATTTATATATACTGGCCATAATGACCGCAAAGCAGAGTATAATAATTTGGTATGAGGAATAAATTCTTCTGTCAGTTTTTTGAGAGGAGGATCATAATCCACAATCATTTGACCTAAACGCGGGAAGCTGAGATCACTAGAATAGAGAATTTTAAATAAAATTGTATAACTTAACTTTATAATAATAATAATAACATACCTTTGGTTATGTACCATTTCATGAGCAGAATTAAATAAGCCAAGAACAGCTTTTCTGTCTTCAACTCTTGATAATAGTATCATAAGTGTAACATATGTTGTAACAAGATCCAAGTAAGCACATGTTAACTCAAAATTTATGGTCTACAAATGATATAAATGCATATCAAATATTTTTTTAAATACATATAACAATAAAAGCTTTATTAATTTTAATAAAATATATTAACATCAAAAACAACATTTCAAGCACCTAGTTTGAAAATATTTTATTTCAAAATAATGGATTTTTTAGTTGAATATTTTTACTGCATTTATATAACATTTAGAATTTTAAACATAGAAAACTTATCAATTTATCAAATAAAAATTATGTTTTTAACATATAAAATGTTTGTACTCGCCATAGGCTTGAGGGGCTCAGCCTCTCCAAAATTTGGCAAATTGTATACATGTATATAAAGAAATTATTTTTTGTAAGGGAAAAAAATTAATTTATCCCTTCCCAAAAAAATTGATAACTCTATACCTATACCTATGCTTTAATGATCATAAATTAAGTTTACAAACAAATTTAGTAAAACCTCTTTATCACCAATTAATATATAACACTTAATTAAAAAAAAGTTTAATTGATAAACTTACTATATCAAGGTTAATTTGACATGCATCCATTGTTGTTAAAAGTTCACAAACATTATCTTTAAAGTCAAGTAAATCAACAAATGTATAATAATATAATGATAATGATTTAATAATTTCATTGCGTATAGGAGTTATTGCTTGCAACTATAAAAGAAAATAATATATTTTTATTTAATACATTTACATGCATAATTAATTAAATATGAGCTCACTCCTTTAATGTCGATATTGGGAAATCTTCTGATTATGTATTTGATAGATGATTCTAATGTTTTATCTGACAAAAAGGCTGGTTTGGATTTAGCATCACCACAAGCCTACATAATATTAATGTTATTTAAATACTTAACGCTAATTTATATACAAATTTACCTTTTTAATGTTATAAATTCTTGTAAGCATTCCTACACCACGATCATTAATTAAACTCAGCTTTTCAGCTAATTTTTGTTGACTGGGCACAAGTGATCGGGACATTTTTTTTTTTACTGTTTAGCGTTATGTTGATGATTATTCAATGATAGCAATAGTCACGCATTAGTTAAAATACGTGAAAGTTACAATTATCCTAGAACTTGGCATCGTATATTTATATCACTTAACTGGCTAATATCATCTTTCCCAAAACAATATAACCCTCCTCATACAATTACAACTCACAAAGAAAATTGTTTAAGGTGAACTATTTTGCTACACTATAGATAATGAAAGGTGACAGATAAATTTTAATATTAGCCCAAAATTAATTAAATTTTTATTGATAAAAGCCGAAATATTTTATAAGTACTAACAACTTTGATACATGTTATCACAATCATAATGTTAGAAAATTTAATTGAACTTATTTGTGAACCAAAAGATACCTCAACCATGTTTTATATGGTTCTCACTAAAGGCACAGGTGATACCACGCTTATACCATAAATCTTATAAACGGGTTACAGAGATTGACACGAACTGATAATGCTCCGACATTCATATACTCCGATATTGTAAAAAAATTCTCCGAAAATAATTTCAAACAATTACGACAACAATTACTGCGAATAGGACAATTAATTGATCGCTCCGAATATCGATTAAAAAATTATGAAATTTTGGATTAAATGAATATCGTAGCAATATATTATCTGATGGAAAAATATAACCCATATCGCTAATTAGTACATATTAATTAATATAATAAAAATATTATAATTAATTACTATCTATTAACGAATAACTATAATAATAAGACACTTGAATTACACCCGACTTTCGATACGATAGGTACATAAAGGTAAGGAAGGAGGCTTTAAACTAAAACAACTATAGTTATATAATTGATGTAAGTCCATAAAAAGCTTTTTTTTTGGATGGGGAAGAAGAGCGATTCCAAATTTTAGACTAAACATTTTTTTTGTCTTATTAGTGCCCATTATTATAACATTTAATTAGTTGTAGTTTTTTAATTTATAATTTGTAAAAAAAAACCAGCACGGGGGGTCGCGTCACAATGGTGACGTAGCATAGTTGGATCAAGTATAATAATATTTGACAGTGATTAAAATATCATAAAAAACTCTTCGATGCAAATCTTTAGATAATGTTTGAATTTAAAAAAAATGGTAGATTATTCCAAAAGCTACACGATCTGCTATTTCCTTATTAATATCCTGATGAATATAAAGTATGTCGAATGAAAAAAGGGCATAAATATTATTTCTCACAAAAAAATTGTGTTGATCCATACACTTTTCCATAAGTTATAGCATTATAAAGTTAAAAATGTAAAAAATAAAATCACAAATCTAAAAAAAAATTATATTCAGTTTCATAATTGGTAAAGACATCAAGCATCTATAAAAAAAAAAATTATATTGATTTGTTCATTTTTAAAAAAGTTAGGGCAGTTTTTAGTAAAAAAAATTGAAAAAATTTCGAAAATTAGCGAATTTAAAATTTGTAATTTTTTTGGAGGTTTTCCCCATTTACGGGGAACGAGGGAAATTTTTTCAATTTTTAAGAGTAATGTCTTCGACTAGATACGATTTGTGAATTTTTGACGGATCGTTGAAAGAAATCGGTCCAGTGAGAGCTAAGAAAATATGGCAACAGACACAAAAAAAAAAACACATAATGGTAAAATAATACTTTAGTTAATAAAGAATTTTTATTATTCACACCTTATGTCTTATAAAAGTAGTATAACTTCTTTAAATGGCAACATTAATTGGGTAATGATTGAATTAAGAAAATGATTGTTCAAAAACCACTTCTGTGTCAGTACATTAGAAGTTTTGAACATTTATATACGAGATGAAAGGAAAAATGTTTAATGATATAAACACTTATATCTGCGCCACTTCCTCAGTCTACTTTATAAAACCATTAAAACTTTCAAAAGTTGTTATCAACCAGCCATCTTCTTAACTAGATCATTTTCTATTTTATTAACTAGTTAAATATATATGATCATTTTAAAAATTAAATTGACTTAATTAAAATTATCTTTAGTGTTTAATTAATTATTATACTAATATTTTTATCTTATAAACAGTAGGATTTAGATTAAATTTTTAAAATATATCTGTGAATTGGAAATATCCTTTGAAAACACAAATGTACTTTAAGATATAAACTCATCATAATTAAACTAATTGAGATTTTTCACACAAAAATAGCATTCGATAGCCATTTTCACCATGAAGACACAATAAAGTCCGAAATTTTTTTTTTCCATAATAAATTAGCTTTAATTTAAGATATATCTAAATATCATAGTAAAACCAATACCTTCTCAGCTTCGCATCGAAGCTAAAAGTTGTTAAAAAGATCTACTCAATTGAGCGTATTATAATATTTTATTATAATTGTAAAAATCCATTGTTAAATTCAAGTAAAACTAAATATTTTTTTTTTAGTTTTATGATTTATATAGCAAAATGTTACAAAAAAATTTAGAATATTATAGATTACTAATTGTACACACAAATAGAGTTAAAAAATTACTTAATTACAAAGTAAAATTATTTACTTTTGTAGTTGAATACTTTTATCATATCAAATCTAATTCGACAATAAATACTTTAAAATTATTAGAAATTAATGATTTTTATAGTTTGTATGGATAAAGCTGGTTAAGCTACTTTTTATTTTTTAGGGTAATATCTTCAACTAAATACGAATTGTAATCATTAGACGTATCGTTGAGAAATGTAGGTTAATAAGAGTTGAGAAAATAATTCGCAGCCACAAATAATAAAATTATATTAACATGAATATAAAATTTCTTCCCCACGAGGGGAGACTACTGTGAGTTATCTATTACGATAAAAATGCAAAAAAATTTTGAGCTTTTCTGATAAATTTACTATAAATAGTTCTCATAAAATTTCCTATTTTATGATGTCAATTTCAATCTTGCAAATTGAGCTAAAAGTTATGGTAATAAAAAAATTTTTTTTTACTAAAAACTTTCACAAAAATCAATTTTAAAGAATTAAAAAAATAGGTTAAATATATAAAAATCAGTATTAATTTAAAACTATTTTCTTTTGTTTTTTGTTATTTTTTTATATGAAATACTTATTTTTTAATAATAAGTAATAATATTAAAATTTAGAAGTGATAGAAAAAATCTAATTGCACATTTGAAAACATCGCGAAAAGTTGATTTAGAAAAGTATATTTTTGTTTCTGATGAAAGCTCCTTGTATAGTCCAGTGTATAAATCTTTTAACTTTGTTATAAGCAACAAACATTTTTTATTGAAAAGTATTGCATCAATCCCTTTAATTTTTTATACGCGTTAAAAGTAAAGAAATATACCACTACTTTATTATTTTTATAATATATCCATAAAAATTACAATATTAAATTATTGATTATCAATTTCATACTAAATTTAATTATTATAATTATTATTTATTCATATATTATAATTATAAATCAAATAACTAATCCAGATAAAATTAAGAGAATAAGATATTAATGTTGCTTTTGAAATAATCTATCAATTTCTTAAAATTAAACACTTTAATTTTGCATCGAAGCGTTTTTTATGATGATGATTTTAATCACTGTCAGATATCATCTATACTTATTCCAACTATGCGTATGTTATGTCCCAACTATGTTATCCAACTATCCATACTGTGCCGCGACCCCACTTTGCTACCATTCTTTAAAATATATATATAAAACAAATTATTTAAATTCTTTAATACCATTGAAAACTATATATTTAAAAGACAAAACTAATTTATTTTATATTAAAATGTAGTAATTGATAATATCTTTTTTTGTTCTAGGGAACTTTTTTATTTTTCATTAATATTTTTGAAACGTCTGTATCTTTTAGACCTATACCAAATTAAAGCTCTTGAAGTGTACTATATTATTAAAAAATATCATCCCACCATTATTCTACTTTGAGAAATTAACCATCAAAGTAAAAAAACTACTTTATTTTTGATTTTTTGAAGTATTCCAGGATGTCTGCATTGTCAAACCTTAACCATGATTATTAAGAGTATATTGAAAAAAATAGATACGTTCCTACAATATTTTTTCTATGAGATATTTGACTAAAAGTCAAAAACCGCGAAATTGCAGTGAAAATTCGTTCTTTTTAACACGTTTATATTAGTTTCACCTGTATGTATGTATGCATGTATGTATGTATGTATGTATGTATGTATGTATGTATGTATGTAACTCTCCAAACGCCACGCGTTATCGCATATTCCGTCGTCTAGACTAGACTGTTATACGCATTCACCCCTCCCCACGCCTCGCTCACATCACGACGGCACACTATTCCTATAAAAATTTATTTTTAGTTATCGTACCCGTACACGCGTGCTTGTCATCAATATTATATATATGTAAACAAATTTTTATTTTGACTGACCAATACCGCCCGCGTCTAATGCGCCTTACGTATATATATTTATATATTCCTACCACCGTTTATACCTCAGGTATAACGTTAGTCCGACCCGCCTACCCACAAAATACGGTTATACCTAGTGCATGATACGTTTACGTACTTAAGT